TGCCTCATGTGCCCCCCCCCCACCCAGCAAGGCACATGGATGTATTTTTTTCCCCTCTTCTTCCTTGCATTTTCTTCCGTTTTCTCTCTGTCTCTCCCTTTCTTTCCTTCTCTCTCTCTCTTTCTCTGTTTTTTTTTGTTTTTCTTCCAGAAAATCAAAGCGAGGAAAGGGGAAGGGTCAAAAGAGAAAGCGCAAGAAAGGCCGGTACAAACCACCCAGCTTGTACGTTTGTGTCCTCTGCTTACAGACTCTCTTCCCTCCCTCTCCCCAAACCGCCTGCTTGCTGCTTACTCAAAATCTCACCTCCCCTCCCAGTCACTGGTGGGCTGCAGGTTCTGCAGGGGCAGCGCTGGTGGTGGCACCGCTCTGGCCTGAGGGTATCTCAGGGAAGGTGGCTTTAGCTTGCTTGGCTCTCTGATCATCGGTGGCGACCATTTTCCCAAAGCACAAGAGCACGGGTGGGTGGGTGAGCGCCCCGCACCGCTTTTCCACGCCTTCTGGTTGCAACGCTGCCGTCCGCTTTCCCCCACTCGTCTGGTGCCCTCACTGCTACGACGGCCGGCGACAGGCAGGCTGGCATCTGCCATGCACGTGTGTGTGTGCGTGTGTGCGCGCGTGTGCGTGCGTGTCTGGTGGAGTCACAGGCGGAGGGGAGAGGTGGGACGGTGGGAAGCCGGAGAGGGGGTGCTGGGGAACTGGGGCGGGGGGGGCTCTCTGTTTTCTGCTCTCTTTCTCTGCTGGATTTGGTGGCTTCTCTCTCCTTGTCTCTCTCTCCGTCTCTCTCGCTCTGCTTCTTTCACAGTGGTTCACAGAATTCTGCATTGTAAATTCGTGGCCCCTCTGTAGGAGATTCCTAGGTGGCAAGGTTGGGATGGGGCTTACAGAAAGGAGGACAGTGCAGGCTGCAGGGATAAGCACGTGATGCTGGAGCCCAGCTGCTTCCCGAGGGAGGAGAGACCCTGCGTATTTAACTCGTTTAGCCACTGGCCTCTTTCTGCTCGAATAGCCCACTTCAGAGAATTCCTTTCATCGAGACCTCAGTAGCTGGTTGGGACCTCGCACCTTCCCATCCTTGCTTTCCCCTTCTTCCTCCCTCTGGCCTGTGCCAATGGATCCAATGCAGCATTTGTGAATACTGTGCAGAGAGCCTGTTTTCTTTCTCTTTACGCTAATGCAAGGGGTTGCTGTCCTGGGGCTGCCGGGGGTGCTGCTGGAAAATCCATCAGCCCGCGACGCTCCAGTGGGCAGCATGGGGGCTGCGGGAGGGGGCAAGGGGATTGCTTTGATGTTTAGGGTGTTGCATGTGTATTTTCTTTCTGCTGAAGCGCTGTAGCTTAGACATCTTTCCTTTTGCCTTTTTGCAGTCACTGTGAGCCTTGCTCAGAGAGGAGAAAGCACTTGTTTGTACAAGATCCCCAGACCTGTAAATGTTCCTGCAAATTCACAGACTCACGTTGCAAGTCGAGGCAGCTTGAGTTAAACGAGCGCACTTGCAGGTTTGTGTCCTGAAGGAAAAAAGAGAAACACACAATTTTTTTTTACTTTTACTTCTTTTCTCTGTCCTACGTGGGCCAGAGGGCAGAGGGGCTAACTGAGATGAGGACAGAGTTTCCCTGTGTCAAAGGGCGGCTGTGCGTTTCAGATGTGCTGTCAGGACTTGGACGGGGACGGCTCCCAGAGAGAGGGCGTTTGTATCTATGGTATCCTTTCCCGTAAAACAAGATAATGGAGTTCATGCTGCTGAGTTAGCCAGGGGGAAGGTCTGTAGCCCTCTGTACGTTATCTGTATGCAACTCTGAGCGTACCATTGGACAAAACCAAATCCTTAGCTGACTGGGATTTGACCACCCCTGCCTTCCAAGCCCTTTTTATGTGGCTTGTGGACACTCTGCTGTGTGCGGAGTGAGGAAAGCCAAGTCAGGAGCCTCCCTCAAGGCTATCCCCACATTCTCCTTTGCCACTTTCTTCTTAAAAGCCAGAGAGAGCACCCTGTCCTTCTGCACTGTGCTCACAGTTCCCTGTCCATGTCTTGGCCAGAGCTGTGATTTGAGGGGCTGCGCTCAGGGCTGTGACGTGGGATACAGCAGGATTAAGTCTATCTCTAGGAGAAGGCAGGCAGAGGTCTGTATTTCAGTTGTGAAGTGGGAGGCACAGACACCGTGTGGTTAGTGTTTGTTCAGAGATCCATACTGTGCATGTGTCATCCGAGTGCTCTCTGTCACACACCGTCTGTGGCATAGATGTGTGCAGAAACTGATTCCTGGTTCTCACCTGAGCGCTTTGGTGAACTCCGTGGGGTCCTTTGACTGGCACCAGCTGCGTGTGCATCTCTGGTGTGGGATCATCCTGCCTATCCAGGGAGAGACACAGAAATGGGGTTGCTAACGAGCCTTTGACTGTGACTCTGAACTCAGGCCCCTTTCTTAGAGATCTAGGAGATTCCTCCTGTCAAGGGAGTATTGCAGTGGCAGTGGCTGGATGGGAGGGAGTAAGGGAGAGAGATCCAGGGTCCTCTGTGGCTGTATCCTGAAAGAGAAGACATCCACTTGCCTCCATTCACCTGCCTGGGATTGGCTAGGTGACTAAGGCTGCTACAAGTAGCAAGTGCTTCCTTGCGGTGTGAAAATGCTTTGTGCCCAATACAGAGAGGCGTTTGCACCGCCAGTGTGGTGGAAACTGCTCTGCGTACAGAGGAATTTTCTGGGGTGCTGTAATTTCAGCGGGAAAGTAATTGATGGAGGGGCCAGAACAGAACAGCTTCTGGAGATAAACTGCTCCCAGCGAGCGTAACCTCTGAAGCGCGAGACCAGTCCTAACTTTGGCCTTTTCCCTCTGCTTTTGTTCCCGAACCCCAGAATAACTGGAAATTACCCTACAGAGCTTGAAGAGTGAGAAATAGTCACAAAGAAAACACCAAACAATACCCCAAAGAAGTCGTGATGATAGAAGGGGTTTACTAGTTTCTCTTACTCTGTGGTGGGATAATTGGCACCAGGGGAGATTTGCAGAGCTGGTGTGTTGGCCAGAAAGATAGGAAGGAGTCATAGGAGTGGGTAGCTTATCTGTTTCCAGATAAAAAGCTGGTTAAGGTGAAGTTCCTCCTGTTCTTTCTTGTAGAACTAGAATTGGGCACTACAGGGGAGGGTAAATTCTCATTTCTCCCGCTGCTTCTTCAGGCTGCTGCTGCTGTTTTCTGGTGCTAACCCCTGCTCATGGCAGCTAGTGGAATGAGAGGTTCTTTTTTTCACCTTCTTGCCTGCATGAGGCCTCCTTATCTGCACTGCTTCCAACCCAAGCAACAGGCTAGGTGGAGACCTGAGGGAGTGTGTCTTTCTGCATGCATCGCTTAGCCTTGTTTTTCTGTGTGTTTGTGCGTATCCGCGTGCGCATGGTGTGAGAGGGTGCAAACAAGACACTCAGCTCATCTGTGAGGAAGCCTCCGATTCTGCTCCTAAATTCACCTCTGTACCAGTATCCCCACCCCTGCCCCGTCTAGGTGAACCCAGGGGAGTAGAATTCGTCAAGATTCTCAGCTGGTTTGCCCCGTCTGCACAGCACTTCACCCCACCAGTGACGTCATGCCATGTCTTAACACCATGCGCTCTTAAACACATCAGCCACCTCCCTTCCTTCCCTTCCCTGTCCTGCTTGCACCCCCATCACAAACATTAACCGCTCCTCTCTTTCTTTTTTCCTTCCCTCTCCTTTCTGACAGATGTGAAAAACCGAGACGGTGAGCAGCGGAAAAGAAGGGGGAACAGCCCTGTTTCTGGAGCCTGATTTCTCGCCTGGACAGAAAAAAAAACAAAACACTAATCCAAATGAACCCTAAAAATGAAGGATCGGTAGAGCACAGCACTTTCAGTACGGACGATGGACTCCGGAAGGAACATTCCCCAAGGCACCCGCCGCACAGAATTCACCTTTGGGTTTTGAACTGTTTTATTTTATTTTTCTTTTCATGCTGCTAAATAACAGAGCCAGGAAGACTATAGGGGTGTATTTGATGGGTTTTCCCGTGCATACATATATATGTGTGTATACATGCATATACATATATATATATGTATATATATTTTAACCACATCTATATATACATATATGTATATCTTAACCACACACACACACACATATATATAATGAATATATATACTGATTATTTTTTTTAACATTGCTAATGTTATTGGTGTCTTCACTGGATAATACTCGACTGCTGTGGACACAAGCGGGCTACTTGGGGCATAAGAAACAAGCTAAGACTGGACTTGAGTAGAAGCGCTGGGTGTAAACTTCTTAACTCTAACTGACTTGTGCGGCCTCCGCTGTTTCTCTGTAGAGTGTGCTGTACCACAAACCGCCTTCTCCTTGCCTGGGACAGGGAGGAGAGGTGCCGGAGAGGACGGGCAGGGAGTTCCAAAGAACGGCATCCTAGGGTGCGATGGGTCAAAGGCCAAGGAAATGGCCATCTGCGTGATCAAGGATTCCTCCTCCCCTCTCTTCCCCAACCTTCGCCCTTACTCGTCTCATAACCTCCCTGCCTTGCTGGGACATGGGATGTCAGTGTACATTTTGCGTTGACTTTATTCGCTCTAGAAACTTTGCCAGAGAGACGTGCTGGCTTCTCTTAAGGATGGTGGGCAGCTGATGCGCACTAACTTTCCATTCAAGGAAGTATCACAGGAGTCTAGATTTCCTGCCCTTGGTGGCTGCAAAAGGACACAAGGCCTACAGTGTGCTGAAGCAAGAATGGGGACCGGTGCATAGCCACACAGTTGTTCAGCACTGTCTGCTTTCTTCATGCACAGAGCTGCCACTCAAGAGCATCCAAGATGCTTACTGAACATTTCTGGAAAGGGATATTAATCAAAAGTATATACACAGTAGGGGGGTGTGTGTGTGTGTATGTGAATGTGTGCATTTGTGTCTCTGTGTGTGTGTGTGTTTGTGTTTCTCCCTCTTTTTTATATATATATATTTATTTTTATACATATATATATATAAAAAACTAATATATATGTACGCCAAGATCGAAGAGGGGAAAAAGAAAGCAACTTTTGCTGCCTTCAGTGCGTGCCCAGTGTGAATGACCCGTAAGAACGTCACGATTTTTTTTTTAATTTTTTTTTAAATGACGTACTGTAAATATCAGGCCCCTTTTCCGCTTCTTGGGCTGCAGAATCGGATGTGAAGGCAGCTGGAATCCCTAAGCCGTGTCCGAGAATCTTGGCTATGTGTGTATCTGCAGTATACGCTGTGGTGTATGTGAAACCCACCTTACACATGCGTGCACACACACCCCCCCCTGAAAGCGTGTTTGTACATCTATGTGGATATATATAATCTAGTTCTGTGATTAAAATTATTATTATTAATAATAATAATCAAAAAGGTACTCGGTCTGTGTCAGAATGCTGCCAAACATCATCTGCAATTGAATTTTCAACGCCTGATAATGTACAACACGGAAAGCTTCCAAAAAGACAAGACAGTCTAAAAACAGACTCACAACAAGCGACTACTAACCACTAGGAACTCCCCATCCGACTGGTGGCTTTCAGGAGGAGAGGAAACACACGGGTGGGTGCTTGCAGCTGCAATGTGTAATACTCGTGCCGCATCGTGTGCAAGACAGAGGCTTCCGATGGGGGGGAGGAAAGAGAAAGTGTTTTATATACTTATTTAATATCCCTTTTTAAATTAGAAATTAAACAGATAATTTAATTAAAGAGTAGGGATTTTTCAGTATTCTTTGTTAATATTTAATTTCAACTATTTATAAGCCGTACCTCCTTTTTTTTTTTTTTTTTTTTTTATTTGTACTGGTTGTTTAAAAATTTAACCTTCCTGTTGTTCCGTCCCATCTCTCCCCAATTGTTGGCAGAGTCAGTAGCATGTTATGGGCAGTTATTTAATTAATTTCTCTAACACCTACCCCTACACATTCCTATTGAGACAAGGGTTAGATATACATCTACATACTATATATATATTTGGCTATGTGTTTGTATATATATATATATGTTTATGTATATGTGTGATTCGGATTAAATAGACGCTACGATTTTTTTATATATGTAAAAAGAAGAAACAGGAAAAATAGAAAATTCTACATCTTGAATCTCTCTCCTTTTTAATTTTAATATTTGTTATCATTTTATTTATTGGTGCTACTGTTTATCTGTAATAATTGCGGGGAAAAAAGATATTAACACTACATATTGTGTCTAGTGAATTTTTTCAAGATATTCCTTAGCACATATTTATTTTTAAACAAAGAAATCACAGTAATATCTTAAAAAAACGACGACGACGACGACAAACAAACTTTTTTTTGTATTAAAGAATTTAATTCTGACCTTGATTTTCATTGCCTTCTCCTTCTGCCTTGCATCCTGTTTTTCTTCCATTGTGTAACAGACCCTCCAGCATTGCCTCTGGAGGCTACAGGGCGCCAGCAACCTGCCAGTCGGACTCTTGGATTTGGGCCCAGAGCCTCCAAAAGCGTCTAGGTACCTAAAGTCTGTTGAAATGCATGGGAGGTAGGCACCAAAATACCTGTGCGGAGCTCAGCCCGAGGTCCCTGCTCGGTGAGAAGAGGGTGGTCTGAGGGGCAGGACTTCTGGGTTCCTTCCCAGCCTCTGATGCCAAGGAGCGTGGAGATGGTCCCAGCCCTGCCTCTATCTTGCCAGCAGCCGAGCCCCACGTGCTGGGTGCTGTATAGACACGAGTAGACACGATCCTGGTGGAGCTTACAACCTGAGACGAAAGTAATGCTCTGAGCCTTCCCTTCACTGGTGACGGACTCGGCTTTTGCAGCTGGAGCACTGTGTGTGTAACCCGCTGCCAGTGATGGCTCAGCAGGACCTCACCATCCTGACCGATGCTGAACAAAGGACTCTGCAGCTCTGACCGCACTCATCTCATTGTGAGGGATCTTGATACCGTTGCGTCTTTTGTGATGTGCTTTGGAGTCTTTGGGAGGAAAAGCTCTTTGGAAATGGTGTCCTGTCCTCATCAGCCATGGAGGTGTGTCACGTTGTCAATCATCTGGCCATGCTGGAAGGGAGCGTACAGTATGTTCATGGATGTCTGGAAGGCGACTCACCCAGGTTGATACAGACCACTGAGTTCATGGCTGCCTCGGGCCTACTCTTGTGAAGGTGAAGGATACGGCTTTTATTCAGGGCGGACTTAGGCAGCTGAACAAGTGGATCTGCAGTCACAGCCTCTGCAGACAGCAGAGGGGAGGAAAGAGGACAAGTACTTGAGGAGGTTCTGGTTCATTTTGTTCTCATGGAGTGCAGCAATGAGGTGAGAAGGTGAGCGGGAACCGTCTGTGGACGCTGCTGCGTGAAGAACCCAAGGAATTGCTTCCCTTGCATATTCGCCACTGGCTTTTGGTTTATGAGGATCTATGGGCAGTTTCGCAGATGGCTGTGCAAAGTGTCAAAGACAGCAAGCCTATCCTCAGTAAACCCACGTTTTCTCCGTGTGACCTGGGACATGTTTACAAGTCATCAGATATTGAAAAGATTGAACCTGGCAGGTCAGTGTTGCTCCTGCGGGCTGAGCTGCAGAGATCTCACTGGATGTAAAACCTCAGCATGCAGGAATCCAGGTGTCTCCTGGGTGGACGAGGCAGCGGGTCCCTACTGTCAATCGTAACAAGTCAAACCCTGCCTGTTGATGGCAATCTGGGCTGGCTGCTCCTGGTGCCTGGAGGAGAAGAGCATGCTGCACCCCTCTCTTTTCCTACCTATGAGGGCTCAGGAGAAGCAGGACATCTGCAGAGCCAGGTGACCTGGTAGCCACCTACTCCGTGAAGCTGTGTCTGCGCCTGGCTGGGTGGCATGCTTTGACTGGGACAACTCTCCCCCCTCCAAGGATTCACTTGCGTGTGGCTGCAGCAGAGCTGAGGCAGCTGCCTCAAACCACTGCAGCAAGGACCTGCCCAAGCCAGCTCTGAATGAGGTACCTGGGGCCCTGGGAACAGTCAAGCTCCTCTCCTTTATCCTCCAGGGTGGATATGGCTGGGCTGTCACCTCTCATGAGGACAGCGATCGCAGCTCAATGTTGGAGCGGAGCCTCGCCTCGCTGGGGAGGCCGCTCGTGGGTGAGGACCCCGCTCCTGGAGGAGCTGGGATGCAGGAGTGTGGCTGTCCTCACCCTGCCCAGCCTGAGCCCGTGTCTTGCTCCCGGCTCACGTGTGCCCCGTGCCAAGGCGCAGCGGGGACGTGTGGAGTGAGGCCAGGTTTGCAGGCTGGTGCTCTGATCCCAGCACGCAGCCATTCAGCCTGCGCAAGAGAACTTTCCCTCAGAGGCTTCTGGTCACGTCCGCATTTTGGTGGCTGGCTCATTAAAATGCTATCTCCGGGCAGCTGGCTGGTGCTTTCCTCGTGCCCACTTTGTTTGTTCTGCAGGATTCAAAGAGCAGAGGCACCTCAAGTCGGAGAAAAAGGTGCCCTGGGCAGACATGACAGAAATCCCCATCAGCAGTGGGAAAAGGGTGCTTTTTGTTGGAAACCCCTGCGGTCTTTCCCATTTGGCACCTTGCTGGCTGTTTCAACCCCTGGTTGCTAGTGTGTTATGCTCCTGATCGGGGCGCTAAGTCAGTCAGGCTCTACCTGGGCTCCGCCAACAGCTGCAGCACCTCTCTTAGAAATGCCTGTAATCTTCTGTCCTCCAGCGTGGTCCCATGGAGCACCTCAGAAGCCCAAAGGAGATCCATCCCACAGGCCACGTCCTCCACCGTCTACCTGTGCGACCTTTGGTAGTGAGAGATGTGTATTTTTATGCCAGACCACGTGGCGAGCGTGCAGGCAGCTTTTCTGTGCTTGGGACGCCTGAAATTTAAGGCTAATCCTGATCATCCAGCACAAGGTCTGCAGTCCCAGTCCGCGCAGGCACTATGCTTGC